GTAACTGCCAAGTGTGGAGACCATCGGATGGTAGAGATATGTGACGGACACACAGATCGACAGACAGATAGACAGAGATTCTTTGATTCATAGTTAGATCGGTGCCTTTTGTGAGGAGTTCATTATTCAGTTTGTTCAACAAAAGAATGTTGGAAATAGTTTTATTTAAATTTTTTTTTAATTTAACAAACAGTTGTATTTTAGCAGTATACTGAAAGCGACAGAAAGGCTTAACTCATTACACTGTAATATCTGTTTGTTTATCACAAGTAATATTATAACGATATTCAGTGTTACTGCATATTCCTTGTTTCTCTCCTGTCATGCAGCTCTATAGTACAGTTACAATGGAAATGTAACAGTGCAGCAGTGTGAACTTTCGCCATTCTAACTTTCATTTCCATGATATTCACACTCTCCTCAAGTGTATTTTTTTAAATTAATTTCATTATAGTCAATTTGTTACATATACAGACACCAGAGTTACAGTTTACTTCCAGTGTGACAATAAACTAATGAAAAACAAAATTCTATATCTGCTAGGTTGTAGGATTAAAAATCGTATACGTTTCTATTTCCACTCTACAAAGCCAACTTGATTTGTGAGATGAACCCAGTGCTTGTCTTTGCTGTGAGCTTCAAGTGTGTTGCCAAAGCACAGACATCATATAATTCATGTTCTAAGCTAACAGAAGTCACAGTCTGTCTCTTTTGTGTGCGTCTGTTGTTTTTTGTATTGGGATCTGTTCCCTTGAGAAGAGCAACTACTCCAGGCAGAGGTCTGTTTAGTCTCCAGTGATCAGATAATTTTAATCCTCTGTGGTCATTTGTCACACAGGCTTTAGGCGAACCCTGCAGCACTGCCCACTCTCTTCTTCTCTCATTTTTGCTGTTAGCTAAGAGCAGGGTGAAGACACGTTGTCGACTGTAATCACACTTACACAAATGGTTGGTTGGCAGTGATTCAGCCCTCAGCAGGTGGCATCCTTTACATATCTGTGCACACTTTTTACTGATCTTTTATGTGCCCAAATGTAGCTTCAGGTCATTTAAGTTCTTGCGTGCTATTTTCATCTGTTCCTCTGATGAATCCTAGTACTGCTGCTGATACAGTAACATTTCATGTTGACCCATTTGGGGTAATATGGATATTTTTTACTGCCCCGTAGCACACAATTAATGTAATACTCTTCATCTGTTTTGAGGTTAACAGGGTTGTTGATCATTACCAGTGAATCAGTGATAAAACCACCAGGTGCTGTGGTTTCTAGCTTTCAGTGCTTCCAGTCCATAAGATTTCCTGTTCATGGTGGAGAGTGGTAATTGTTACCCACAGCCTACAGTGGCACGCAAAAGTTTGAGCACCCCTGGTCAAAATTCTGTTTTCTTTGAATACTTAAGCACATAGAAGATGATGTAATTTCCAAAAGGCAAAAAGTTACAGATGACACATTTCTTAAATACTTTAAGCAAAATTCATTTTTTATATAATTCTTTTACAGTTTCAAAATAACAAAAAAGGCCTGAAGCCAAAGTCTGGGCACCTTGCATCGTCAGTACTTAGTAGCGCCCCCTTTGTCAAGTATCACAGCTTCTAAACACTTTTTGTAGCTAGCTATGAGTCTTTCAATTCTTGTTTGAGGATTTTTTTCACCCATTCTACCTGCAAAAGGCTTCTAGCTCTGTGAGATTCTTGGGCTGTTTTGCATGCACTGTGACTGCCCTTCATTGCTTCATTTTGAACAACACTACAGTTAAAAGCTAGATTAAACTTAGTGAAGTGGGGTTGTTCCCATGCTTCCCTTTTGGAGAAACAGGCCGGAGTACCCCCATGGAAGCTAAGCAATGTACTGCTATGGACAAGGGCAGCAGCAAAACATTTTTTAGCCACCTAAAAAAATCAATATCACTTTAAGTGTGTGCTACATTTAGAATATTTTCACTGCTGTTACCATACCTTGTCTCAGGCTGTATTGTATGTATTTTGGGCTGCACAAAATTGAACGAACTGGGAATAGAGAAATGTTTCTTGGCATTTGTGATTTTCAGCTGTACAAGTAGATTTACGAGACATTGCAATGATCCCTTGACACAGATATGTGAATAAGTTTAAAGAAATGAATCACCAGTTTAATTTCAGCCTCCAGTTCATGTGAATGTGATCCATCAGGGGATTTACCTGATGACCTTCCACAGTCATTAATCGCCACCAGTCAGTCACTGACATATTTGATTTTTCTCTGACCTGACCACTAAATGACCCCACTTCTCTGTATACACTCAGTGGTCCAATCATAACATATTCCTCTGTCTGTGAATGATTACTTCATTAATACCAAATATTCTAGAATAGAAGGTCAGAAGTAATGTGATTTCTTTCTGTTGGATCACATCCTATCCAGACACAGAACAGAATTTATAATGTTTTCTTTTTTTCATCTTAAACTAAGTACAGTATCCATCTTGTTAGTTTGATGACAATCACTTTATCAGTGAATTGAATACTATTATTGATTCATCCTGAATTTTACCATGGCCTCATTAGCAGTGTGTTAGAGGATGAAAATGAGAATTCTACTTGTCTCCTGCTGGTTGGATAAAAGACAACTGGATGAATCAGTTTGTGAAGTATTAGTTTTGTGTGATTGTCATTAGGAAATATTGCTCATTATTTATGTCTTTCAAGTTCATGTCAGGGCTGTGCAAAATATATATAGACATTATATCAGTACCATGATATGAAAGGAAATTTCACCCAGGGATGGTCATTTTAAGCAATTTACATATTTGAGTACTCACATTAAATTATTATAGAGTACTCGTGTACTCACACACACAAAAAATCAAATAATAAATAGGAATTTAAATTGGATAACAACAGAAAACAAGCGTAGTTTAAATTTCTTATATTGAACAACTGGGCTAGCTTCAATTAGACTGTTAAACCATAAATTTAAATGTAAAGAGGAACTTCACTCATTTTCAAAATTCGTACATTTTATTCCTATGGTTTAAGACAATCCAAAAATGTTAGTAAACATGAACAAATTTTTCCCAAATCTAAACAATAGAGTGCTAAAACTCAAATTTGTGTTGTCATGGGGTATAAAGTCTGGAGCTACTGTTCAAATTTACAAAGCCAACAGTGATTAAAGCACAACAACACTCAGTGGCAGCATCCAGTTTCTGCCAGCCATCTTCTCCCAAAAAATTAGCTTTTCTGTCGTTGTGACTGGAGACGGTAGCCAAGCTAAAGAAGCAGCTATGATGTCCCCCGCGCCTTTCTGAAAAGTTATGAGATTTTCAACTGGAAGCACTCAGAGTGACTGCACAAAAAAGGCGGAGTGCTCTGACAAATGATTCTGGGCGCTACAGTGTTTCCCTAGGCAGCAGCATGCAGCCACATACATTCTCTCCTTGTTGGGAACAGTTAAAAAAAAAGACACCGGTGCTGAGGAAAAAATTGTTATGTGGACAGGCCCTTACTTCTCTAGTTTTTGGCTGTTAAAGAGAGTATTGATTAGTATTGATTGAACATGCCTTGGCCATTGAGATAACATAATGGAACTCTTAATTTAGCTGGTGTTCCCCTTTAACATGAGAAAAATCAGCAAATGTTCTGTTGCTGCAGTTATATTGGTGAAATACAGCACTTATGGACTGGGTCCAAGCTACCATCCTCCTGGTCAAATCATTGTCTGATTGGTTAGCACAAGCTAACACAGCAGCAAAGGCTAACATCTGACACAGAGCCATTTTATAGCCCCGACAAACCCACGACACCAAAATGGCTCAATTTGTAATTAAACCCTTTAATAAGCGACAAGTAACATTAGCCGTGTGATGCTTACAGTTTGCCCTGACACTGTGTGTGTGTGTGTGTGTGTGTGTGTGTGTGTGTGTGTGTGCTAGCAGACTCTCACCAACTGTCCCCCCACAGAGCTCACACTCCCGCAGCAGGAGTCATGATAAACAGAAAGAGGGCGACAGTCGGGCAAGGAGGTGCTAAGTAAAGCAATACACTGCACACAGCTCTACCATTTTAAATAGTAAAATAATATGACAGAAATTAAGTGTTCACATGTGGGTGGTTGGGCGGCAATTACTCTACACATTGAAAGAATACAGACGTCCAAATCAAGTACTGAAGTAGTTAGTCATGCCCATCATAATAACTGTTGTCTTTTCCTGGTTTTAACAGCTGTATTTATACAGTAAAGTGAACTTACTTTCTGAAATTACCAGACTGTTCTAGCTGTCCAGTTACTTGCCGTTAACCATGTAGTCATTATGTTCACATTACTGATGATTATTTATCAAAAATCTCACTTTGTAAATATTTTGCAATATCAAGTATCGAGATATTTGGTCAAAAATATCATGATATTTGATTTTCTACCTATCAGCCCTTATTTATTTATGTTCACTGTGGTCTGAAGTCTGGCTGATCTGTGCTGCCTACAAGTGTCAGACACTGCTATCAGTCACATGTTTTCACTCCTAAAAAGATTATTAAAATTTCAGTTGTTCTCTAAATGATGTATTTCATCATAACTGAAGTACGTAGCCATTCACCTGTCAGGCAGTACAGTCCACCGGTCTGTGACTTATGCCTAGAAGTAGGGGGTGTATGCAAGGGGATACTGTTTCCATGGTAACCTTATAATTTGTCACACACAAATACACACATGACTGTTGAAAAAGGTTATATAGAGTGGTAGCTGTGTTGGAAACGTCCTCTGACCAGCACTGCTCATTAGCCTTCACTTCTCACCCTGCTGGGAGCCACACACATAAATCACACACACACTTATGCAGGGTCGACCTGGTTTACTTTTTATTTTTTCACTCAGCATTTTTCCATCCCAAGCTTCAGCTCACTGCCCCTCAGTTACTGTTTCCCCCTTTTGTGTATCCCTCTGCCTCCATTTCCTCCTCTTTTCATCATATCATTGATTTTTTTTTTTGTTTGTTAACCTTGTTTTCTTGTCCACCCGCAGGGCGTAGGTCTGTCAGTTCATGGACGGTTCCGGGTGGCCACTGAGAAGACGCTGTTTGCCATGCCAGAGACTGCCATTGGTAAGACTGTCCAGCTGCACCAGCTCTCGTATTCCTCAAGGGAAGGTTGGCCCACATCAGTGTGCGCGGGTATCCAGACCATTAATTATGTAGGAGCAGTGATTTCAGTTGCAGACCCAGCTGGATCCAATTCATACTCACTCATAGACATGAGGTCTGTCTGTGTGGGAGGCTGGGACGTAATACACAGAGGGATAGATGAGTGGTATTTAGCACAGCATATGATAGATGACCTCATCCTGATAACAATGGGTTTGAAGCAGTCATTTCTGAGGGCAGGATGTCTCATTTCTCTAAATTTGTGTTTACTCAGTTCTTCTTTCTTTACATCTTGTATTGGAAAAAGTATTAGATGCAGGTGATAAGAAAAATGAGTGGACAGAAAGTGGATCAACTGTTGGAGAGATCAAACAAACTGACAACACAACAACTTTCAGTTGTACATGCTAATAAATAGTGAAACTAAACTGTAAAATGACAATGAGAAAAGTTAATATTTAACATTTAACACCATGTCATGTTAAGTGTGTTAGCATGCTAACATTTCCCAATTAGCAGGCTGAGGCTGATGGTAATGTCATTAGCTTTGTATGTATTTATTCATAAACAAATTGAAGTTTTGATCTGATGACGGCACTAGATAGAGACTTAAGAGACCAACAAAGTTGAAACACGAATATCTAAACCAAATTTCATAGTAGTCCATCTGATAGTTGTCAAGAAATAACGAAAAATTCAATTCCTGATGGCACGAGAGAAAAATTTGGGGTCTCACCAAGTCATTTTGATCAAAGTCAAAGTAGGATTCATCCTCTGGGGACCACAAATGTCTATACAAGATTTAATGACAACCCGATATGTGTTGCAATATTACAGTTTAGACCAAAAGTGTTTGATCGACTAAGTGACATCATTATATGCCTGGAGCCATGCCACATGCTAAAAATTCCAGGCACACATGTGCACCCAATAGTCTTTGCTACTTTGGTCAGTATGTGTCTTCTAATTCGTAGAGTTGGACAATACAAAATTCAGTTTTACTATTTATTGATTTTTAGTTTTATCATGTCATCTTGATACAAACATATTGGGTCATTGATTTATACAATTCTGCTGTCCAAATTAATAATACCAAGCAAGTTGTTGCTTTAAATTAATAAAATAGAGGTGTATGCAGCAAAGGGCCATGGGTTAAAATCGAACCTCGGGGTGCTGCTATGACTCAGCCTACGTAGAGCTTACACTTTTCCAGGTGAGCTACCATGGGCATTAATAAGCATATGGCACAGCCTTTCTGATCTATTGTATATTCTGTCTGAAGGTGACAATGGCAATGTGCATGCACATAAAGCCATAACTATAGGACACACAAACCTGTCATGGTGAGAAAAGGTCTTCATGTTTTAGTAAGAAGAAAGAAGAAAAAAAATATCCAGTCGGGAGAGATGGGAACCTGTTTTTAATTGACAAAAACAGGTTTAGGAAGGCTTAGGAAAAGACCAGTGTTTCGCATAGGTGTTGAATTTTAGTTGAATTATTAAAATGTTTTGTTACTGAAGTTAAACTGTCTGATTGAACAGTTTATAGCAAAAACACATGAAAGAAAAAAAAGCATTATAACAATACAGTTCTTAAAAGTTGCAAACTGAATTTACATAATCTGATACCACCAAAAACATGCAATGATACATTATACTTTATCACTTACTAAATGGCTTACTGTGTGTAGAAATCATCAAGAACGTATTTTAGTGTTTTACTGCCAGAGTACTAAGCTTTGCTTTGCTCTTTAGCTAATTGACCCCTGTAGACAGATGGCCGTCTCCCGAGGCGCTGAGGAGATTACTAACAAATCTCTAACAACTAATGAATTCCAGCTGACGCTATGGCATAAACTAGCATGTTGTCACTTAAATCCAGATGGTTTATTACAGTTCTATAATGACATGAATGTAATTGTATATGAATTATTTGCAGGAAACTGTTACACCAAAGCATTATTCACACTGGTTTTGTGTTCCGAAAGAATCTGTGAATTGACCAGACAGCTAATGTTCTCAGTCTCTTTTCAGTCACTGTATTTACTTAATGAAGGTTGTTAATGGATATTGAGGCAGTTCTCAAGCGTCTTAAATGATCAGCTTTCTGCCCATTTATTATATTTGTGTTGGAGTCATGTGGTAGCAGGAAATGCCTGGCTTATTTTGTGCAGCAGTAGCTCTGTTGTATCTGTTCCTTTTCTGTAAAACTGACTGTGTGCACTCACTCCCTCACACTCACAAACTTCCAAGGACACTCACGTCATCATCTATTAGACACACAAGCACTCTTTCAGACACACACACACACACACACACACACACACACACACAAATCAAGCCTATTTCTGAGCTTTGTAGGCTCGGACTCCATAATAAATCTTCAGCTGATGCTTAACTCCGTGGTGGTGTGCAGTGGATTCTGACTCAGATGTCTGGAGCAGCGTAAGGATGGAGATTATGTTGTCAGGGGAGAGGGAATGAGTGTAGCAGAAAAAAATGGCTGAGGTTCTTGTTGACGCTGTCTGACTGTTGCGTGTGAGGGATTTTCTCAAAGGCGAGGCCACAATGAAGAGTAGGAGGAAATGGGGCAGCAATTCAATTGCACAGGCGGAAGATTGGCTGTAAGAGGGCATTGATACGCTGCACACTATGTGTGTCTATTTGGGTGTGTCTTATATCTTGCTTCCCTCCAATCCATGCATGTTCACTCTTGTTTTGTCCAGTACTTGCTGGCAAAGTAGCGTATAAAATACATTTGAGTTTAGTCTCATTAATAATGTTTATAAATAAATCATGAATCTCACAGTGTCTTTTACACTCTCCAGTCACTTTAGCCAGAAGGCAGGAAATCTTTGCTAATCCTCTTCGGAGCTGCTGTGTCACTATTGTTTTTACTAAAGGCACTTTGCTTCCAGGCCTCTGCACCACCATTATCAGCACGTCCCCTCTGCAATCAGAAACTTGGACCTCACACTGTATTGTTTTCATTAGGGAAAAGCATTTTCACAGAGATCGCAGCTGCTTTGAGTCCTTACATGCTTATATTAGCCCTGATCCTGGGGTGGAGCCTCTCCCTTCTGTGCTGTGGAATCAGGTCTTTTCCACTGAAGTATAGCGATATTATACAAGTTTCAAGTGCTGGAAAAGTCCTGAAATATCTGAAATTAAGTTAGACATATTACTAAAGTTTATATGTAGTTTATTAGACTGATTAGACCTCCTCTCAGGACTGTATAGGCATGTATAGATTATGCTTGATTGACATCGCTTTTACTCTCCTGTGAGCTTTGTTGCACTTGCTTGGATGGGACAAATTATATAAGAATTAAATAAAAATTATCATTCTTATTGGTACATGGAGTCTGGTGACCTCACATAATTATCAGCATCCCTGAACAGTGGTCTAATAAGTGAAGTAAACTAACACTTAAATTGTGTTTAAAGACATACTATGCAGGGATTGTCAGTTACACAACCTTCAGACTTAGGCACCTTCTCCCTCCACTGCTTGTATGTACACTGCAAGCTACTGTACAATTGTAAAAACATTACATTTGTTGTAATGGAAAAGCCGATACTTTTGCAAGCTAACTAAGCTCACGGCCAGCACCAACCTGTCCAACAGGCCAACTCCACATCACACATCACTCTCCATCCTTTCCTTCACTGCTTCACAGTGAAAATCAAAGTGAAAGCCAACCCAAGATTCACTCTCGTTTTGGAACAGGCTTTGTCTGCTCGGCGTTTCGCATCACTGCATTTGCGTTTTTTTCAGCTCTGTGTCCATGGTCCTTGTGGCTTTCTCTTGGATGCATGCTGCTTATGGTCCAGTCTACCTTTTTTTACAGTCCTGGCCTCACCTTGCATTGTTATTAGCTGGAGGCTACATGTCCATAAACCTACCAACCACAGCAAAATAAGAAATAAATAAGAAATAAGAAAATCCAGACAGAGGGCAGAGTCTCTGCAGATAAATACACCACAACACACTTCTAGTGGGCCATAAATGTTAACTGAGTGTAATTACTTTGTATGAGTCAGTACATCGTTTTTTAGGAAAATCCTGCACAGTATACCTACGCCTTTTGCCTTTAGTTCATCGACATGCCTCCAGAAGCTTCCAGTGATCTTTATGTTGTTTCTCCTTGATTCATTTCTGAGGCCATTTCCCCCCTCACCAATTCAGCACTCAGGTAGTTATTTTGGGTGATTAGCCCTTTTTTCAGTTTAAAGCTGGGTGGAGCTATGCTGGAAATGATGTGACTCCTAACCAATGCAACAACACAGGAGAGATGTGAATTAATCAAGGTCTGTACAAACTCACATATTCTAATAAACCAAAACAAGTGAAAACACCTGTGTGGGTACAACATAGTTGTGTATATACTTGACATTTATGATAATTAAGCTTGCAGGCACCTAGCTGCAGAGTTACTTTGATACTCGACACTGCAACTCATTTTATAGAGAAAGATGTTGACTCATTTCCTACTGAGAACATCCAAACTTAGAATGTTTTAAATGTATTTATATAGCACTTTTCAGAAGCAGATCTCACAAAGTGCTTCTGTATTGAAAAAAACAACAGATACATAGACATAAGAAGAGTAAATAGTGTACTGTAACAGGGTTGTTGTTGATGTATGTTATAATTTAGTTTTGCTGCTCAGTGTGGATGTAATTGTTAATTAGTACCACGGTGGATAAAACACTATATCATGGGCCTGATTACAGAGGATGTATTCTGTACAAAATTGAAGCATGCAGGTGTGACCTAATTACTCTGAGTAGCAAGTCATCACAACAACATGTTCCACATTTGCATAACAAATGTTGCAGAAGTGTGAAAAAAATCTTAGTATGAAAGCTGTTTTCACTGTGTGGTTTCCTCAGACTAGAGCATTATCAAGAGTGCAGAGAGTTTAAAGGGACCGTTACATTATATTGGAGAGAAGTCAGACAGCTCTACGTCTGATATCTCCAACACTCTGCAACTCACACCAAAACAATCTAGACTGATAAAAAGCACAACAGGAAAGAGGAAAAATATATATTTTTGATTTTATTGCCTTTATTTAACCAGGTGAACTGTCCTTTTAAATACATGTACTGTTTTAGTTTGGGGGTGGGAAGCCAGATTGGTTCTCAACTCGCTGCATTAGCTACTTCTACTGGTTGGATGGGGTTCAAGCACAGTTGGGGGTAGAACTTTGGTGTAGTATGTATGTTATACCTTTCCAGCAAAGCTAATTGATGAGAGGTGAAAAGCAGCTGTAGACACCATGTGTCACAGAGATAGCACATGGCTGTCTACACCCTCCCCACGCCAAGGTTAATGTTAGCAGCATACATATTGTCATACAAGAGCACCTAAAGGTAACAGAGTCATGGATAATGTTAATTACTGTTCATTAGTTATACATGTGCCCTGCTATTACGCCAAGTCAGATTGTCTACTGTAGAAAGGGCCAGTAGTTGGAACAGTTTGTTCAAACAAACTGACAGCTCTTAAAAGACTACAGTATGAATAGTCTTCCAACAGCCCATTGAAATCATAGCTATAACACTGATCTCAAAAATGAAAATCAAGTGGAACCTGGGCTGTTCAAATGCACAAATCCCTGCTGAGACTGAGTATCTTTCACATGTCAATTTAACATTATCAACATGTTTTTTTTTCACATCTCACAAATCATCTCATGATGACCAAATGGATGAATGGAAAAGCTCTGATCCATTGTCCCTCCCTGGATTTCATCATGTGATTAGGGCATCCCTCACCCTTTAGGAGACCCTGGCTATGATTTATTAATGCCCCCCCCTTCCACTGCCCCCCACCACTCCCAGCAACACTTCATAATTCAGCAGCCAACCTTCAGAGATCCTCCAAGGGTCCTGTTTTAGGCTGATAGCTACAATAAAAGTCATCACTCATTTTAAAAGTATTATAGTTACTCTCTCATGATAACTCTGTGTTTTTAGAGTTTAGAATAGTTACGTAATACCTTCATAACTACACACACTAATATTACTCTCATCCCTCTCTCTCTCAGCCACAAACAAACACACTTGTATCCTCCTTACATACACGCGTTCAGGTTAACCCCTTCTGCAGTGAGATTAACAGATTGAACCAAGCCCTGTGAGCATTCTGAACAACAGCCATAATCTGCCGCATTTATGATATTACATTTTCAGCCATGAATCAGGTCAACTCATCTAATCCCACTCTCCCATTCACCACCCACCCCACCCCAACCCAATCCCACCCTCCTCGCCTCATGCCAGGATACAGAAGCAGTCAGAAAACCAACTGTGACCAGTGGAATCTCATCTCCTGTCAAAAACATTGACATAATCAATGAAATGAAAAAAATCAAATTGAAACATTATTGTGAATACAGAATAAATTATGTACGGATTAAAGCTGTGTGTTTTCCATAATCATAATTGCTTGTAAGCCGCATGTTTAGGTTTCTGCAGCTTGCCAGCAATCATTTGTTTTGTTAATGGGTGTACTGAATCATACTGGATGTAAATCACCTCTGGGTGAGGTGGAAAGATATTTCTGGATGGAGGATGATGTGGAGGACAAAGCTTTTTTACACTCAGCAAAACAGTGCTACAGTATGCTGCTTTAAATAGTTACTGAGCTGCAGCAATTAGTTGATTGATCCTTTAGTCAATAGAAAAGGAAATTAACATAAACTATTTTGATAATCAAAGTATTTTTCAAGCAAAAATGAAACATTTGTTGGTCTTCAAATATGAGCAATTTCTGTTTTCATAGTAAATTGAATGTGTTTTTGGGTTGAGACTGTTTTTCTGACAAAACCTTCATAACATTTAATGACATCACCCTGAGCTATATGGTATGTTTACCTCCACCAAGCAGGTCATGTTGTGGGTGTGGTTTGTTTGATTGTCAGGATGGTCCAAGACAGAACCCAATACATTTGTGCAAAAATCTTAGAATCCAGTAAATGGTACTAAATTTCACTAGTGACAAAAAAGCCAATTGTACGGTGCAAAAGTCTGGGCACCCCTGGTCAAATTAGTATTATTTTTGTTTTGTACAATTTTAGAGGGAAAAAAAAAAAAAAAAAAAGTCTGGGCACCCCTGGTCAAATTAGTATTATTTTTGTTTTGTACAATTTTAGAGGGAAAAAAAAAAAAAAAAAAGTTTAGGCACCCCAAGGCATTTCAGCTCTCAGACAACTTTTCCCAGGGTCTCAGACCATAATTCGCTCACTAGGACTATGGCTTGTTCACTGTCATTGTTAGGAAAGGCTAGGTGATGCAAATTTCAAAGCTTTATAAATATTCTGACTCCTGAAACCTTGTCCCAACAATCAGCAGCCATGGGCTCCTCTAAACAGCTGCCTAGCACTCTGAAAACTGAAATAACTGATGCCTAGCAAATGAAATTGAGAAATGGTAGTTAACAGGAACTGCAGAGATCAAGTTGAGATCTGGAAGACCAAGAAAACTTTCTGAGAGAACTGTTCATAGGATTGTTAGAAAGGCAATTCAGAACTCCTGTTTGACTGGAAAAGACCTGCAGGAAGATTTATGAGACTCTGTTCTACTGTGCAACACCTGTACAAATATGACCTTCATGAAAGAGACATCAGAACAAAACCTTTCCTGTCCTCACCACAAAATTCACCATCAGAAGTTTGCAAAGGAACATCTGAACAAGCCTGGTGCTTTTTGTGGTTCTTTATTTTGACAGGGCTTTTCCCTGATGTGGGAGGTGGCTATTTTCTGCCGAGGCTCCGGGGGAAGCTGGGACTGTTTCTGGCCTTGACGGGCTTCCGTCTCAAGGGCCGTGACGTGCAGAGAGCTGGAGTTGCCACTCACTTTGTAGAGTCTAAGAAGGTACAGTAACTCAAGGCCCTCACAAAAAGTACTTGGCTGTATGTATTTTTTTTATTTCGACATTCTGAGCTAAGAGGGAACAGTGCTGTTACATGAAACATATTTTAAACAAGACTGCAGACAAACACTTGACGAGCCAAACAACCAGGATTTTCCAATATACTGCTTTCAGTTCATTATCTAATCCACTTATCGGCCCATGCACCGTGTGCGTGTTCGTGTTGCTGCAGGGAGGAGTGCAGGACAAGAGCACGGTGGGGGGGTGAGGTTAAAGCTCCACTGGAAAGCCTGATGCTGAGTCATTGCGTGTCTCACTCTTGTTTAAAGGTGTCAACATACACTGGCAGGTCCAGAGGCAGGTTGTGTTTGTCTTGCTGTTGGCATGAGGTCAGAACAGTGGGCGGCAGAGTTTGTTTAAAGACTGTAACCTTGACTTTCAGGACACACAAACAGTGGGGTGGATTTAGTTTATTTGTCCAACTTTTACAGCAGTTTGACAAAAACAAGACTGGACAAATATGTCTGTATCTATTGCACTTCTTCATTAATTTTGTCATTGAATTAAGCCATAACTGCAAATTAAAAAAAAATATTTTGGAGGGTGCAGTGTGCCCTTGCACTGTCCCCATACTACCTGATTTGTAAAAAAAACCTGCACAGAAATCCACAGAAGAAGAAATTCAGCAATCCTGTAAAATGTATTTCCTTAGGGAGAACCATGAGACAAAGATCTGCCTGCATCCAGTAATGTGATTATTTTTAAAATGATAGACTGATCATAGCCTAGTAGCTTGTAGAAACCATAGTCTACTGCACACAAATAAACAAAATTACAGGCATTTTTATAGTGGCCAGTTGTAACGTAAAGCTCTCTGCTTCAACAGATCCCAGACTTGGAGAAGGAGCTGGTGGACTTGAAGTCTCCCTCTGCTGAAGACGTCTCCAAAGTGCTAGACTCCTACCAGAACCAGGTTAGAATCCTTGCACATATAAGCCATACAACTTAATGCTGAACTTGAAATATCCAACAGTTTAAAGGATAATTCTGATTTGTTGTGGGATTGTATAAGATATTTATCCATAGCCAGAGTATTATGGCGCTTGGCACACCGGCTGACAGGAGCACAACATATTTTAGTCACCTAAAAAAAAATTAGCGTCAGTTTAATTGTCAGCTATATTACAAATATTTTCACCGCTTTACCTACTGTCAGACAGCCCTTTCCAATGGGGAACTGAACTGAAACAGAAGCTGGAACATATCTTTGCTCTTTTTGAAACCAGACTTCTTTGATAAAAACAGTGATGTTACCTCACAGAACACAGGAGCTGCTGGTCTATCACTGCCTTGATCAGGTAGGTGTTTTAAAGACTTAGTTCGGATTCACCAAAGTCACACTGTAACACAACCAAAGAAACTGATCGAGGCAGTGGTAGATCAGCAGCTCCTGGGTTCTGCAAAGGAGTCTGGTGGCTTTCAAAAGAGCATAGATAAGTTTCAGTTTAGCTTCCCATTGGAAACTGGCAGCAAGGTAAACCGGTGAAAATATTCTACATAATATAGCGTACACATAAACTGATGCTGATTTTTTTAGGTGGCTGAGGTGCTGCTGTCCCCCATCCACAGCAGTACATTATGTAGCTTTCGTGTTGACTCCTGCCTGCCTCTCCAAACTGGGTGCCTGCTGGCAGACATGTACTGTAGATAATACACTGACTATGGATAAGAACCTCAAACAACCCCACTTAAAAAAATCCAACTATCCCTTTAAATGGTTAGTGAGTTGCCCTCCAGACACTTGAGGGTCTCAGTAAACAGTGGCATGCAAAAGTTTGGGCACCCCTGGTCACAATTTTGTTTACTGTGAATAGCCAAGTAAGTAGAAGATGACCTGACTTCCAAAAGGCATAAAGGTAAATATGACACATTTCTTTAATATTTTAATCAAGATTACTTTTCAATTCAATCTTTTCCAGTTTCAAAATTACAAAAAATGAAAAGGGCCTGAAGCAAAAGTTTGGCCACCCTGCATGGTCAGTGTTTAGCAGTGCCCCCTTTGGCAAGTATCACAGCTTCTAAACACTTTTTGTAACCAGCCAAGAGTCTTTAAATTCTTGTTTAGAGGATTTTCACCCATTCTTCCTGCACAAGGCTTCTTCTTTTGAGGTCTTATCCACAGATTTTTAATGATTTTTAGGTCGGGGGACTGTGAGACTATCAGGCAAAATCTTCAGCTTGTGTCCTTTGAGGTAGTCCATTGTGGATTTCAAGATGTGTTTAGGATCATTGTCCTGTTGTAGAAGCCTTCCTCTCTCACCATCTTCAGCATTTTTACAGATGGTGTGATGTTTGCTTTCAGAATTTGCCTCTACCTGTGAAATGTTCCCCGTGCCACTGGCTGCGACACAAGCCCCAAGCATGATCAATCCACCCCTGTATTTAACAGTTGGACAGGTGTTCTTTGCATGAAATTCTGCACCCTTTTTTCTCCAAACATATCGTTGCTCATGGCGTCCAAAAAGTTCTATTTCAGCTTCATCAGTCCACAGGACTTGTTTCCAAAAGCATCAGGCTTGTTTTGTTCTGATGACTCTTCCATGAAGGTCATATTTGTTCAGGTTTCACTGCACAGTAGAACAGTGCACCACCATTCCAGAGTCTGCTAAATCTTCCTGCAGGTCTTTTGCATTCAAACAGGGGTTTTGATTTGCCTTTCTAGCAATCCTATGAGCAGCTCTCTCAGAAAGTTTTCTTGGTCTTCCAGACCTCAACTTGACCTCCACAATTCCTGTTAACTGTCATTTCTTAATTACATTATGAATTGAGGAAACAGCTACCTGAAAACACTTTGCTATCTTCTTATAGCCTTCTCCTGCTTTGTGGGCATCAATTATTTTAGTTTTCAGAGTGCTAGGCAGCTGTTTAGAGGAGCCCATGGCTGTTGATTGTTGGGACGGTTTCAGGTGTCACTGGAATTTATAAAGTTTTGAAATTTGCATCATGTGGCTTTTCATAATGATGACTGTGAACAAGACATAGTCCTAACAAGCTAACCATGGTCTGAGACCCTGGTAAAAGTTGTCTGAGAGCTCAAATGCCTTGGGGTGCCCAAACTTTTGTATTGTATGGTCCTTTTTTTGCTCTAAAATTGTACAAAACAAAAATAATACATTGATCACTCAAAGTTGATAAGCTTGCTTCATCTTTAACTTCATGTTAATGGAGATCAATTCATCTTCTACTTACTTAAATAATCACAGTAAATGTACTATATGTTTGTGTTGACGATTGTTCTCTGTCCACAGAGTAGTCTGGATTCTGAGAAGCCTTTTGTGTTGGACAAGCACATGTCGGATATTGACAGGTAGGATTGAAATTGAATCTATTAGGATTGAAAATAAACATAATGTAACTGGTGTGCCAGAAAAACTAATAAACAGCTAATTACTTTAAGAATAAGACTGTGATATTTTATTATTTTATTTAATGTTACTGTCAACCAATGCCATGAAAAGACCAAAACCAACAATGTGTTACTTTGTCTCTCTATCTTTCCCACTTCCCTACCCTTGTGTGGCACTCAGCCCCAAGACCATTCATTCCTACTGAAGATGAACAGCTGGGCAGTGCAGTTTTAGCAGATGTTACTCAAACAGGAGTACAGTAGATAGTGTATTTGTTAGGGACTATTTTTAGCTTTGGATGTAGTGTTCATTGATGTTTTGGATAACAATGGAGCTCTGAGGCACAAAGGAATTAGATGTATCAGGCTTTGGCCACACTAAAAATACTCAGATCATTGTGGTTTTGGTCTGTATGTGGATTTTGTTGACAAAAGAATAAATATAGAATATTGCCATCCTTTAAAGCTGGACCCAACAGACACTGCAAGCAGGAAAATAAACATTTCGAGGCAACTCTCTGATTTCAGTTTAAAATGAGAGTGAACTGAGGTAACCTGCTGAAAACATGATTCCATGTTGTCTTCCCTCCCTTCAGGTTGTTCAGCTCCAGCAGTGTGGAGGGCATCGTGCAGAACCTGAAGGCAGATGGCTCAGAGTTTGCTAACAAACAAGCTGAGGTATGACCTTGACCTGCAGCTTTATCATTGACATCATGTGTTTATTCTCCAAGTTACTGTACAGAAATGAAGCATTTGACAGTTTCTACCATCAGCTGTCCTGAACACATGTATACTTACTGCATATGGTGGCTATACAAAGTTTTTTAAAGTCCTGCTGTACCTCTGCAGCCCTGTTACCCACCATCAGATAAATCTCACTGGTAGTGCTGGGACGGAGCCACGGTATTATTTGTCTTTAGCAGTATATGTTAGTAATTAGTGGTTACCTCAGTTTAAGCACTTAATGGTGTTGATCTTAGTCTTGTGTCTTGTTGACCAGAATCCCTCCTGTGAGATTTCAGAGCTCTGAGCAGACCACAGGGGCTTTATTCCACACATTTTCCTGAATGATTCTAAAACTGACACTTCTGAATGTGACTCTTCTCTCTAATCTAGGTTTTTTTGTCATTTACACTCAGATGGTCCAATGAGATCAAATCTGGGAAGGGACTTATGTAACAAACAGTGCACATGCCCCAGATTAGACCCCCTCCCTCATGGACCCCACCCTCTCCTCACTGTCCCGAGGATTAATAATACTGTACCAGCAGTCAGCTGTTATCTGCTATAATCTGTTTATTATTTTGATTTGTAATATTTGAAGTATGGTTCATATTGAAGAACTGTTTAAGGCTTAGCAAATATTGCCTGGCTGCTTTCGTTTGCTGGGTCTATCAAACATGTAAACACTTCCTGTATCCTTTTAGACCATGAAGATCTGAATCAGAGCCAATGGGGGTGGGCGTGGGGTCAGCTCAGGCATCAAATATTTATGATGAACCCACTTCCTCAGTTACTACTACACCACTGACTCACCATCGGGCCTTGTACATTAAACATTCAGAGCTATCTTTGTTCTTAGTAACACGTTGCTTTGCTTGTTTTTTTTTTTTCCATGATTTTATTTTATAATTTGCTTGTTTATCTAAGAGCAAATTAAGCAGTCCATCACCACCTCTCTGTTTGAAAACTATTACTCTGTCTCCTCTTCCAGACACTGTCCAAGATGTCTCCCACATCCCTGAAAATCACCTATAGGCAGCTGCAGGCGGGTGCAACTCTGAGCCTGCAGGATGTGTTGGTGATGGAGTATCGACTGAGCCAGGCTTGCATGGTAAAAACCAACAGACTTAACTGTGTAAAACTGTAGCGTCAAACTACAGAGAATTTATCAACATCCACTAGCTTCATTTTAATACTTTTCACTCTTGTAGTGATAGAATTAGATAACTGAATTATGACAGATACTATTTGCGCTCAGGTGTCCATAGCTAACAATGCTATATGCAGTTTCCTGTGTGAAAGCCTTGTGCTTGACCCACTCACCCACCACATCTGACTCTTTCTACAGACTGTCACTCTTTAACTAAGTCACCTGATTTTCTGGCAGTACACATGTTGTTTTTGCACGTACATTTATTCTTAGACAATATCTGGTTTTGGCGAGTACTATCCCTAACTATGACCTTTTTGCCAAAATCCTACCCACCTCCAAACATGACCCATCGACGTGACAAGTGCTAGCCAATCACAGCACACAGCAGGATCTGTTATAATGCATTAAAATTCAATTCTCACCCGGATGCAAATAGACACTCCTATCAATTAGTCACTGGTTGAGGATCCCATTGTATTCTACAACACATTAAGTTGCATTTATCTTCAAGTTAAAATGATTTTATCTCATGAGATTGTTTCTCTATTGTTCTGCAGAGGGGCTGCGATTTTTATGAGGGTGTACGAGCCGGTAAGTCACGGTGGTGAATGGGCAACAAAAGTAGAATTGGGTGGATGTGAATTTCAGTGACGTAGCATCGTTTGTATGGATCGCACAGAGAGCTGTGAAGACTGAAAGAGCAAAGAAAAAAATAATGTCGATTATAAATGGTATTAAAGGATCAATAATTAATAGTTTTCTTTGTTTCTAGTATTGGTTGACAAGGACCAGAATCCCAAGTGGAACCCGTCAACACTGGAGGAGGTGTCAGAGCAAGCTGTGGAGCAGTGCTTCTCCTCACTGGGAGAGAAAGACCTGACTTTATGAAGCTTCACACCTTCAAACACGCACACACACCACTAAGCCTTCTTTGAGCCTTCTGTCCCCACATCCCTTTATGGTCAGTCATGTGAGAGGACTGTTGAGGATGAGAGAAAGTCTGGTATTTTACAACAAGTACATCCATAGGTCATATACCTAATAGTTTGACTCAGTACTATTAAATACTGCAGTGACATTTTACAGGAATATCCAGGCTGCTCCTCTGCAGCTGAGGAAAAGAAGGTCTGATTCATCACAGCTAGAAATCAAAAATAGTAGCAGAAGAGGCAGCTTACAGATGCCCTGTGTGTCACACATGAAAAATGTTTAGTGTAAACTTGCTCTGCAGTGGAAGTGGAGTGGAGTGTTTTTCTTTTACATAAGTCAAATAACTCTGCTGCTGCAATTGCAAAGAATCTGCCGCACAGCAGCATTAACACGAGGACATGATCAGGATCAGATGATATATTGTCTCTGTTTCTGTAGTTTTTGTCTGTTTCCTGTATTTTTCTTTTTTTAGATGGATAAAGAAAGAAAGAATTCTCTGACACATCCAAACAACACTCCCAAAACAAATGGCAGATTTAGACATTTATCATTATTGGTTCTGAATGCATTTACATGATTGTTACATTGCATTTCTGTGTGTGATATAGTGAGTTTTTATAGTTTACCTCATAGTATCAAATCGCCTCCCTAAACATAAGTTCTCAATATCTGCATTATTTTTGAGACACCAGTAAGGCATTGATTCTGGAACAAAGCGCAATAAAGAGTTGGTAATGAAATCTAAAATGTTGTTTTCTTGGTGCGTGAAGAAACAGTTTTCAAGAACTACAGTCATTGAGGGCAGGATCTTTTATGACCTGCTTTTAGAGTGGTCTTGTGAAACATTGACACGTCAGAGTGGCTTTGTTATCAGCACTAAGCTGCTGCTCAAATATTAAGTCTATAAAGTAAATATTTATTGTAGCTGCATGTTGGGTTATAAACTGTTGTGTTCTACCTACAGTATCAGCAGGAAGTGCTGAATATTTTGTGTGACTGCTATAATGGTCTAAAAGATTATTAAAGACTTGTCTGTTCCTAATGAACGACCACTACCACCCTGTCTGATATTTCTACACATAACAAATAACACCTGAAGCTGACCCTGCTCTCTACAGGGCCGTAATAACTTATTTAACATTGGGGGGACCATGTTCAAACTGCGCCTCCTGCAGTGGGTCTTGTGGGGAATTGTGGGGAGACATTTTTCAGAAACAGTTAAACTGACCATTCTCAAAGTTTTGATGACTGAGTGCCATTTTTATGGAGATAGATTTCTCTCAATATTATTTGTGTGAACAGATCGACAACCCATGTTTTAATGTGTGATCTGTAAATATAAAACACCTTTGGCAAATACAAATAAAGATCTGTAAGTTCCTAAAACTATTCTGCAAATATAAAATGGATCTGAAAAACACAAACAAATTCCGCAAATTAAAAAATATCTACAGAATGTACAAATACATGGAAAGCATTTGTGAAATTCCTTATATTTACAACATTCAAACTGATATCTGTGAATCCAGTTTTTATAAGTGAATCTCTATTCTGCACTTGCAGATTTACATTTCACATCAGCACATCAGTATTACATTTGCATAATATTTTTGTGAGTTTAAAATCTTTCTTTGTATTTGTGGAGATTGTTTTACATTTATAGATCACACACTGACACACGGATTGTTGATTTCCTCACACAAATTAAAGTGACATAAATCTATTTCCATACATTTTAGGGAACCAGCATATGATTGAGAGTGCCACAGGAAAAGTACATACACAAGACTTTTTTACATGTTATACTATGTCCTTTTTTGCAACATTTTTTTGACACACTTACACTTCACAAAACAACAGTGATGTAACATTCATATTAGTTTTTTTTTTTTTTTTTTAACTTTTTAGTACATTTGAGAGTAATGAAATAGACAGTTCAGTGTTTGTCCTTGAATGCACCCACAGCAGTGAAGCAATGGCTTCTGCTGGGGTGTGGCAACTACACACGCAGAGCTGCAGTACACTTTAACATTAGAACCAGTATTAATTATAATGGCAATTTGTTGCGTGTATTTATGACTATGATTATTATTTCAGATGGTGGTGCGTGATTGTTGTAGCAGTAGCAGTTTTATTTTTCTTAATATATTTATATCAGTATATGGGGTGGGGTGGGCATATTTTATGCCTCACTACATACTGCCTAGTTTCTCAAACTACTTCACATTCACAGTCTGATTCAATAACACACATCTCATTTCAATAGCAGCCTCTCAGCCTTCACAGTGGCTCAGAGGATGACCTCCAAATACTGTAGACAATAAACGGCCATAAACACTGAGAACATCGTCTGAGTATTTCTCTGTGCGTCACAGATAAACCCTCATGCTTTATGGGCCCCATTTGCTCTTCAAACATGCACTGGCCAGCAGTCATATCTAAATCCTTAGTGTTTGTTCTTCATGCAGCTGAACTTTAAACTTGCCGTGTGTTCACTCTCTAACAGGATGCAGCATCACCACCTCTCTTGTTTGACATGTTGGCTATTTTAAAGGAACAGTTCACCTCAAGGTCAAAAATAAGTATTTTTCCTCTTACCTGTAGTGCTGTTATCAATCTACATTGTTTTGGTGTGAGTTGCCAAGATGTCTGCCTTCTCTCAAATATAATGGAGCTAGATGCTTAGCTTGTGGTGCTCAATGTGCCAAAAAATACAGACCTCTCTTTCTAATGAACTACACCCACTAACCATATCACTGCACATAAGGAAACTAGTATCTACTAATGGGCAAGAGGCTCACGCTTGACAGTGTGAGATCTTCCTCAGCTGAGCTGTAACACTAGTTAGCTCAGTGGTGCTAGGTGAGCTAGCAGTAGATGCATGCTTCCGTTTACACTGTGACACGGTTGGTGGGTGTAGTTCAGTAGAAAATACTCTGTATATGAAACTGCTCACAACAAGGTCTGTGGATCATCTTGAGTAACTGAGTCATGATTTCTGGAAAGAGACATTGCTGTCAAGTCTTTCAAATGAATATTTTGGTACTTTAAGCACCACAAGCTGCGTGCCATCTAGTTCCATTATATTGTAGAGAAGGCAGACATCTCTACAGCTGATATCTCCAGCACTCAGCAACTCACACCAAAACAATCTAGACTGATTAATAGCACTACAGGTAAGAGGAAAAATATGCATTTTTGATTTGGGGGTGAACGGTCCCTTTAAATGTGCCACTAATATGTTGAAAAGCACCATTGTGAGGTTGTTCTGAAGTAGTGATTTAGAAATAATGACATGTTTCTGTAATGATAGAAGGCATAAATCTGATTTATTGGCATCATGAGTTTTTACACATACTGTATGTACAGTTTGCAAGTGAAATGAATACTGGACTACAGGAATATGCAAAAAGTCACACATTATAAGTTATTTTATGATGATATATTGATAGGCCGACATGTCTCATCTTACAGGACTGCTTCCAGGAGGCCATTTCTCACTTATTTGGCAGCAGAGAGGTCATGGAAACAGTGCAGGGGGGTTCTGGCTACTGCTTGTGTTTCACTTCACAGTCAAGTCTGCTCATATTTTTTTTTTTTTTTTTTGCTTCAACTCCACTGCTCTCTGACTGTTTTTTTGTCTATGGGTCACTTTGGCTGTTGTTAAACACTGATGCATCAGAGGCATCGTGGGTACAGGGGGCCGGACCCTGTTACAGAATAGTGTAATGTCACCTCTGCTGATATTTACCCATCATAGATAGTGCATTATCGGATCAGCTGACTTGGTTTCAGTGAGTGGCACAAATTTGAATCATGAACTAATACCTGATTTTAAACAAACTTATCCAGGAATTCAACAAATGAAGGAATTTATATTTTTTTTCCATACAAAAATTAAACAGATCATTTACTTGCTTGAGTTTGCCAAGCCGCACAAGATTGGCAGTAAAGAGAATTAAAGATCCAGTGTGAAGGATTTAGGGGCATCTATTGCCAGAATGTTGGTTAGTTGATAATCACCTAAAAATAAGATTTTTTTGTGTTTCTGTTACCCTAGAATGAGCCGTTTATATCTACATATGGGTAGTAGAGTGGGTCACCACAGAGGCCCAGAACAGTAGCCCACAATGGACAAATCAAACCCTGGCTCTAGATAGGTCCATTTGCATGTCACGTTAGCCACCGTACTTCTCTTACACACTTGGATCATGATAGAAGATTTAGTTCATTAACCTCCCCACTAGATGCCACTAAATCCTACGCACTGGACCTTTAAGGACTGGCAGGTTGGCTGCCAAAGAACAAAATAGTAACTTAAACAAGAACTGACAATTAGTCAATTGACAGAAAAATGAATCAGAGTCTATTTGTGATAATCTATTAACTGTTTAAGTCAATTTTCAAGTAAAAATGCCAAACATGTACTGGTTCAGTAAATGTGGGGATGTAATCTTTACTTTGTCATATATGATAATAAACTGAACATCTTTGGGGGTTTTGGATTGTTGAATAAAACTATCAAAATAGGTCACCTTTCACTTTTATCTGACATTTTATAGATAAAAAGGTTAATCAAGGATCTAATTGACAGATTAATTGATAATGAAAATAATTGTTAGCGGCAGCACTAATTTAATCAGTACCAAAGGGCACTACAGCCTTCAAGGGAATCTATCCTTAAGATGAATAAATCCTACAAGAGGGTTGGCCGCCAATTTAGCAGCATCTCCCACCTCTGTTGAAACACCTGCTGCTATTCAATAATTCAAAATGGGTAACCTTTAAAAACTCTAAAATAATCATGGTTTCCAAGAGGAAGCACTGTCAGCCTTTCAGTCAGTGCCAAAAGCGTCAACTGGAAGACACAGATGATTGAATGTAGACAGGTGTTCACGCTCGATCTCATTTTTTACTCTTTGTTGTGCAGATTCAGTCCCTCCATGGCTGACTCCAATTCACTGCTATTCTTTGAGACGACCACAGGACCTGATCTTTGCCAGAGTTACAGAACTGAATCTCACAGGGGATTCCACATTTCTTGGTGATGACATCACACTCGAAATGCACAGTAAAGCCTGACATCAGCATTATGGCAGACACAGATTGCCACCATCCAGTTTGGGTTCAGTATTCTCAATGTCATTAAAGTCAACATATAAAACAAAATTACTCATCATCCTCCTGCATGTGGATTGTAAAGAAAATGTGCACGTTTATTAATTGCATGAACTGATCAAATTTTGTCTATCACATTCTCTTAACGCTGCTATCAGCTCTTATGTGTGCTTTTGAAACAGGCCTTTTGCTTTTAAAAATCCCAGCACTGACAGAAAACAGTTCAGCACAGCAGGGAGATTAGCCTTTATCATTTTATCTGAAGCAAAACAAATGGCACCAGATTAGAATTAGGAATATGGCATGTCATCTCTAATCTTCAGTGTGTTCACAACATGTTTGGGACAACTCCAAAAGATTAATCTGTCCACACAGATTAGTGCAAGTTATGTATTATGAGCTGATTTTCAGAGTGATCTGTGCGTGTGGGGAGGTGTTTTATAACACCCATCATGTTTCTTTAGAGAGACCTCTCTCAGTCAGCAGCCCTGTGATCCATCGTCACCCAGCTCACCTAAACAATTGTAAACTTGATAATGCCATTAATGACTACTTTTGAATGATGCTGCTTTTCACTAAGTTTTAGACAGCACTGAAACTGCATTGGTTAGACTTCCCAATACATGATGATGATGTGACTTACTCATCAGCTGTATGGTATTGGCACTTGCCAGTTTTCTGAAACAATTAGAGTAATACTTAGTGTTATAAGAGAAGACCTGGGGAGAAGGCAAGTGGAGAGAAAAATACCCTGCCACTGTTTTATATGGCTTATCAGCTTGTGTTGACATATTCTTACAGTTACTGGTTCATACTAGTATGGTTTTATGTAATTACTACAACACTATTCAAAGCTGTTATCACTGCAAATAATTGTGGCAGTTTAAGCGTCATCATCAATGCTTTTTAGTGGCTAGCAATGTGACTTGAATTTTGG